CCTGAGTTGAACAATCTTTACTTTGCTTTGCTCTGAATCCTGTGGTAAGTTTTCTCAGAACAAATATATCCTCAAAGTTTTAAGAGAAACAGAAAAGTAAAAAAATTAGATGAGCCAACTAAAATCAGTGTCAGGATTGGTGAATACTTGTTGAGGACTCAAATACAGAGCTGAGAGGAATAAACCGATGGAATGAGGAGTTTAAATGCCAAATAGAACAATGAATGGAGTAACCAACTGATTGGGAGCAGGTGTGGACAGAAGGAACTAGAAGGGAGCCAGGGGGAAAGAAACTGGCACAAGGGGGCAACAGAGAGTAACCAAGAAATACATAAGTGCTAAAAATAAAAAAAAACAGCCAGAAAAGAACTAGAATGACACAAAATGGAAATTAAACCAAAGACCTAAAAAACATAAAATTACATAAATCAAAGTGTTACTGAAAACTCAAAAAGAAAACTTAAACAGAACCAAAAACCTCAGAAAGGGCAGAATTATGACACTAAGCAAGTGTTGTAAGAGATTTAGAATATTAAATCTGAATTTTTATATAACAGTTAACTGACAGAAAACAGGATAAAAAAGAGAGGAAGAATGTCTTGGCGTCTGGATTCAAATCCCGGGCGGCTGCATAAAGGCAAGACCTTTATATAATGGTCACACTCTCTACCCCTGTGTGTCTCGGTATCTAAAATATGAAACTTCTTTGAAGATATCAGTAAGGAACAGATGATAAATTGTAGTATGTTTGTACAAACATCAAGATATCCTGAATGGTAGAAGGTTTATTTCTATATAACCATAAATAGGCATAACCATATGACCATGGTGACAACTAACGAAGATGAATAAAATCTGAAAATGTTAATGCTTCTAACAGTAAGGTTGTGTTTCTGAGTCTAAAACATCTGTCTTACCTCCCAAAGTTACAATGATTGATGCATCAATCAACCGGACGAGCAGCAGGTTTGACGCTCCACTTTAAAGATCAAGATCCACCTTAGTTTACCAAATGTCTTCGTATGAAAGCGCCTGAGGGGCGCAACCAAAGAACACAGCACCAGATGCTGCTGTACCTCCAAGCTGTCTGAAAATTATCCTTAAACACCGGATCCAGCAAAAGCCTGTGAAATTGTTAAGTTCTTGTAATGCATGGAGTCCAATTGTAAGGTAAACTGAGGAAGCAAAGACATTACTGAACACATAGTTATGGTATTTCTATAGGCTTCAAGTTAAAGTGTAAATGAATGTCTATAATAGAAAGAGTCGCCTTATTGACAGTTAGGTAGGATGTTACAGTAATTAAGCAGATCTACAGTTTTACTTTCTGAGAATTTCTATTGTTAGCTGAGTGGACGGTACTTCAGCCGTAAGCTGTTCAGGTTATTGGGTCGATTCTCTCCTCTTATGAGGAAAAGGTTTTCTAAGTTGGTGTATTTGCAACAATTATTTCTAACAAGACATCAGAGGGCACTATAGTTGCACTAGAAGTAAAACAGCATAATTTTCAGGATCAATCCACCGTATTGGACAATCAGAAAACAGGCTGACATTAAAGGAAACCCAACTTTGGATCAGGTTTTTATTAAAGCCTTTCAACATCTTTCTGGGTGCCGTTTGTCATGTCTTTGGCTCACAGTAGAGCAACTTATAATTAGAGAATTTCCATAAAAACAAAATTTGAAAGTCTGGTTTTTAGCCTGCTTATTGGTTGGCATGACCAAGATGACAGAATTTGACAGATTGGACGATCAAACAGCTGGAGGAGAGAAGCAGTGGATTTGATCATAAGTCAGTTTATAAACACTTATTTTGACAACTAATGGAATATTCAAACCAACTCCAAAGAAAAAATCTTAACAAAAAAGTGTGAAACAAATAGTTTTTAAAAAAGCATTTCACTGTGGATGTGTTGTAAGAATAAATTGTAAAAACTAGGTTGGAGTGTGGAATATGGTGGACAGAAAGAGCTCAGTATCATCAGCAAAACAGT